TATAGTAAAATGATCAACAATACATTTTTATAGTAAAAAGATCAACAATATATTTTTATACTAAAAAGATCAACAATACATTTTTATAGTAAAAAGATCAACAATATATTTTTATTGTAAAATGATCAACAATACATTTTTATAGTAAAAAGATCAACAATATATTTTTATAGTAAAAAAATCAACAATACATTTTTATAGTAAAAAGATCAACAATACATTTTTATAGTAAAATGATCAACAATACATTTTTATAGTAAAATGATGAACAATACATTTTTATACTAAAAAGATCAACAATACATTTTTATAGTAAAAAGATCAACAACATATTTTTATTGTAAAAAAATCAACAATACATTTTTATAGTAAAAAGATCAACAATACATTTTTATAGTAAAATGATCAACAATACATTTTTATAGTAAAAAAATCAATAATACATTTTTATAGTAAAATGATCAACAATACATTTTTATAGTAAAAAAATCAACAATACATTTTTATAGTAAAATGATCAACAATACATTTTTATAGTAAAAAGATCAACAATACATTTTTATAGTAAAATGATCAACAATACATTTTTATACTAAAAAGATCAACAATACTTTTTATAGCAAGATGACCAACGATACCTTTTTATAGTGAAATGACCAACAATACATATTAAATCAAAATGATCAACAATACATTTTATAGCAAAATGAGCAACAATACATTTTCTCTGTAGTTGCAGACATACAATTGCGTTCAAAATATATTTAGTTGCAACCATAAAATTGTGTTCAAAGTATTAAGATTCCGGCATTAAATCACCCGTAGAGGTGTTGACATGCCGCTAAACCAAATCAACCAAACAACCAAACATGAAAGCGTCAGACATTATTTAGAGCTACAACGAAGAGGAAGTTGTGGAGAGCAATGATCACAAACGTCTTGATGGACCGAAATACTCGAAAGAAGAATATTAACAAGAATGACAGAAGCGTGGTTGGCGTAAAGGTTACACGCCTGGAAAGCTGGGTTGAAATTTTTTTTTTTCGATTTCTACCTCTGCCAGACCTTATAAAAAATGTCTTCTGTCAAATGGTAAACCGATCACCTTAGTGATTTAACTTGCCCAGCTAAGAAGAAACTGCTTCTCACCAGGCGACCTTGTTCCACGGACTGCTTCGTCCCATCTCGGTATATACGTCAGAAGTATTTGGCGTCTTGAGCTCACTGCAACGTATTACATCTTCATAAAAAGTGCATTTCGGGCTTCGCGAAACGGCCTCCTAATCATGGCATTGGACGCGGTACACTGCGTCCAATGCGCTGACATTATGATACTGGAAGCCTGATTACACACGCTAACTAACGATTGAGAGGTTGCTAAAAGAGCATGCCCTATTGTTAATCTTATAACGATGCCCGGTATGCATTAGGTAAGCGCCGCTCGTCCTTTTCTTTCTCACGGGCGGGGGGAGGTTTCTTAAATAGGATCGGTGCACGCTAGGGATGTTTTAATGTTCCTTTCGAGGCCGCACATCGTATGATGTTATTTGCATATTTAGAAAAAGAAAATTAAATATACGTATTATACGTCAGAAAGTATGAAACATAACTCGAGAGGTTTTTTTTTTTAGTGATATTCTGATGAACTTATTGATAAAGTTTTCTCCTCTGTCGTCCTGGGTATGACGATAAACTACATCTGGCAGCAAGGCTTCTGATCGGAAGATTGGAAGTTTGGAGGAGCGTGGAACCACCTCTTAATTAATGTTGTTCCCAGGTCACCCTGACTCGGGAAGGTAGCACCTGTTGAGGTCCCAGCTACCGGAAAAAAGTGAACGCCCAAACAAAAATAAACAGGACATTATTTTATAAACTGAACAGCAATATATTTTATAGCAAAATGACAATCAATGCAACACTAAAAATATATAAAAATATATATTTATAGTAAAATTATCAACAATATATTTTATGTTCGACAAATTATACATTTAAAATGTATACCTTTACGCTGAAAGCATAAAATTATGTACAAAATATTTAGATTTCAACATTGAATGACCCATCGATGCTGATATACATTAAAGGACACTAAATTTTGAATCATTGAAATTTTAAATCATGAATAAAATTAAAGGACTCTAAATTTGAATCATTAAAATTTTGAATGATAAATCAAATTAAAGGAGTCTAAATTTGAATCATTGAAATTTTGAATCATAAATCAAATTAAAGGAGTCTAAATTTGAATCATTGAAATTTTGAATCATAAATCAAATTAAAGGATGCTAAATTTGAATCATTGAAATTTTAAATCATGAATCAAATTAAAGGACGCTAAATTTGAATCATTGAAATTTTAAATCATAAATCAAATTAAAGGACCCTGAATTTGAATTATTGAAATTTTGAGTCATAAGTCAAATTTGAAAGGTTAAGCAGCTTTAGTGCAAGTTGATTAAACAAAATATGATAGAAGAATGTGTAAGGATTATCAGTTAAGAATATTTTTGATTTTGAAGCCTAGACCGTCAGCCACAGTAAACAACTAATCTTGATCTTCTACAAGCGGACAGGCACACATAAATGATTAATTTTAGATTCGAATACGTTTAAACGATTTTTTTTCATTAAAATATTAATTTCTGGTGAATCCATTAAGTGTCATACGTGATACATGCTTAGGAGGTCATATATCTTTCGATATATGACTGACGAAGCAGATTTCTTCCCGCAGTAGCTTGCCATTTCTTTCTTCGGTAGACCAGTAACTATCCAAGGCTATAGAACCCGGTCTCTCCTGCTATTTAATTTACCCATAGCTGGGGGGAGGAGGAGATGATTCATACCTTTCCCAAGGGTATTAGCATGTAAGTGACTGTAATGGATTCGGCTGGAATTCGAACTCGGCTCTCCGATTCCTCAATCCGAAATCAGGCGGTTACCTCTTCGATTTACGTCTTTTCGGATAGGAATGGAAGCCTGCAATAATGGAGGTCTTTCGGAAAACGAACATTCAAAAAGCAGAAAACACCTGTAAGTAAATAAATACCGTATATGCTCGTCTATAAGACGACTTCATGTTGATTGCGACCACTGAAATTTTTTAGGAATGTCTTCAGGACCGATCGGAGTGTCAGTTCCGTTTTGCTTGGGGGAAACGGCCGACTTGCTAACAAGACCGAAGCTTTATCAGATTTTAGAGCAAATAAATGGCAATAATTCAGCTTAGAAATATAGACAGATACTGAGTTGTGTCTTCAGTAATGTCCGTTTTGTGTACCCAATTTTAAAGACGAATGTCATGCTGGGAGCGCTTTTATACACGTTAAATAACGATTGAGAGGTTGTCTGAAAGAGCACTCTCTATTGTTGGTCTTGCAACGATGCCAGGTGTCAAGCATGCATTAGGTAAGCTCCTCCCGTCTTCCCCTTTCCCTCGGCCGGTGAGGTTTCCTAAATGTGATCGACGCACGCTAGCAGTATTTTACTGCTCGTTTCGCTGTCAAACATCGTCCCAATCTTGTACAGCAAAAGTCTTCAGGACCGATCTGAGTGGCAGCTTTGCTTTGCTCTGGGGGAACCGGCCGACTTGCTGACAAGGCCGAAGCTTTATCAGATTTTAGAGCAAATAAATGAACATATTAATGCTTTTGTTATGCTTATTTTAAATTCTTTTTCTTTTTTTATTTAACCATGCGTTAGTCGCACGAAGTAATTTGTTGCCCCCAAATGTAGGTCTTTTGGAAAGAAAACTTTCCCAAAACGGGAAATACTCGTGTATAATCCGACTTCATGCAGATTGTGAATTCTGATTGTTTTGTATGGATTTTAACACCCCTACCCACAGAAAAGATTTGCATGTGCATAGTGCAACCTGTCACCGAAAATGCATTATTTTTAACCTCTTCAAAAAAATTACCCGTGCATACTGTGACCCACTATATTTTGCGTAAAAAAAATGATCACAAAGACTATACTCGTGTGTATACGGTAAATGAACGAGACATCATAGTCGCCATCTTGGATGAATTACTAACTGCAAGTAAACGCTCGCGTTTGGCAACGAATAATTCCAGCAGAGATCATTCTTAGCCGGACGATTTAGTTCAATAAATCTAGGGTATCCATTATTAGCCAATCTAAAATGCATGAAGACACATGACTACCAATATATATTATCAATTAGATAACAACAAAGAGACAATAATTTAAAGAACATATTAGTCCGACTACACCATTCAAATAACATTAGCTTAATAAAATACCTTAAAGCATATAACGTCGTGGGAAAATGATGCTATGCCAAAGAGCTCTTCAGAAGGTTTTTGGAAAAGGCGTATGAAGAGAGGTGGGAGAAAATGGTAGAGGCCTTGCTTAGAACGACTGGGGAAAGAATTATATTTTCATAAGACGGGAAAATCCTAAAACTAGCGGCAAGCAGTCGTAAAAGGACTTAGAAAAAAAAAACAAAAAAAAACAAAAAAAACAAAAAAACACTCAGCGTATAAATAAAACCAAACAAACAATAACGTAAAGTAATCAAGACATAAAAACCAACAAAGTACACCCCCCACCCCGCCGCCAGACGCATTCAAACAGAAGTACACATTCAGGGGCAGACATTTTGAAGAACAAGGGAAAGCAGCAACAACAAAAAACTACCTATAAAAAAAAAACAATTTCCTATAAAAAACAAAACAACTATCTATAAAAAAACAAACAAAAACAAACAAACAAGTATAAAACCCGCTAATCAATGCCTGAGACAAGCATAACAACAACTTGCAGAAAAATACAACAACATTGACAATAACACTGTAAATATCAATAGTAGCGAATACACTCAAAATGGCGTTGATAGGGGTGAGGATGTATGAAAGCAACAAGGAGAGTAGTGAAGAGAAAGAGAAGAAGCATGCTGGGAGCGCTTTTATACACGCTAAATAACGATTGAGAGGTTGTCTGAAAGAGCACTCTCTATTGTTGGTCTTGCAACGATGCCCGGTGTCAAGCATGCATTAGGTAAGCTCATCCCGTCTTCCCCTTTCTCTCGGCCGGGGAGGTATCCTAAATGTGACCGACGCACGCTAGCAGTATTTTACTGCTCGTTTCGCTGTCGAACATCGTCCCAATCTTGTACAGCAAAAGTCTTCAGGACCGATCTGAGTGGCAGCTTTGCTTTGCTCTGGGGGAACCGGCCGACTTGCTGACAAGGCCGAAGCTTTATCAGATTTTAGAGCAAATAAATGAACATATTAATGCTTTTGTTATGCTTATTTTAAATTCTTTTTCTTTTTTTATTTAACCATGCGTTAGTCGCATGAAGTAATTTGTTGCCCCCAAACTTTTAAAATACAAGTAATTCCAAGTTAACAGCTTGTTTATTTTTCCCTCTCTCACTAATCTTTTGATTAAGTGAGGGTGTGTAGCACGTGGTGTGGCGCAGTTGTAGTTCGGGTGTCGTGTGAGCGGAAATTTCCATTCATTGAATAGCGTACTATTCTATTTTGTATCTGGTAACGTCTGCCACTCGAAATGATATTCAAAATGCCTTTAATAGTTCATCTTAAGCTTCTCTCTCACGCTCTCTCTATCCCAGTCTGTTTGCTTAATTTCTAAATCTATCTATCTATCTATCTATCTATCTATCTATCTATCTATCTATCATTCAGTCTGTACAGATTTATCTGTCTTTACAAATCTATCTATCTATCTATCTATCTATCTATCTATCTATCTATCTATCTACATGCGTGTCAGTATTAGTGCGCGTGTGTATTCACTTGGCTATATTACTAGTGTCAGAATAAACGTTTTTGTATGTGGTTATCAGTGCAAATTTTCTTCATTTCTAATTTGTTCATATCTATCTATCTATCTATCTATCTATCTATCTATCTATCTATCTATCTATCTATCTATCTCAGTCTGTTCATATGTATGTATGTATCTACTTCAGCCTGTTTATATGTATGTATGTATGTATCCGAGTCTGTTCATATCTATCTATCTATCTATCTATCTATCTATCTATCTATCTCAGTCTGTTCATATGTATGTATGTATCTATATACTTCAGCCTGTTCATATGTATGTATGTATCCGCGTCTGTTCATATCTATCTATCTATCTATCTATCTATCTATGTCAATAACTTTTTAACCTAGGTAATTGCTACATGTGCATTCTCGTCATAATGAATTGTATTTTTATTTATTCTGTGTTAAAATCTAAGCGTTCGTAACGTCATCATAACGGACAAATTGCCAACGCTCGCATTCTTAATTTTAAAGTAATTTTATGTGTGTGTGTGTGTGTGTGTGTGTGAAAGTTCTCAGAACAAATCTGTATAAAAAACAAATTGACTAAAATAGACAATCGGAAAACAGAACTTAGTCCTTGTCGACGCGTTTCGTCATTTGACTTTATCAAGGCAAGTGATGATAAACAAAAGCGAAATGCTGTGTAATTACATAAAAGACGCTCCTGTGCAAGCCTCTTTTTTAGTTAATACTCATATCCGACCACATCTCTTAGAACTCATTTACACACACACACACACCTAGCAAACTCCACCTGAAACATACTATCAGAAAATAAAAGCATAATAACTTCATGCACATGTAAAAAGTTTAAAACAATGGAAGCCTTAATAATAAAAAAGAAAAAAATTACTCTATAATATTAACTTCAAACACGGCCAAAATGTGATGACAGTGTTCGGAAAGTAAAACATCCTTATAACTTTAGGTATATTCACACAACAGTTAAATTGTAAAAATAAAATCCTCCTTGATAGTAGCTAAAAATATAGCCGAAAGCGCTCGGAATTAAAGAACATTTGGACAGTTTCTACACATTTTATGTCCAGAAAAGAAAACACTTGTTCTAACACAAGAAAAATTAAATAAAAAGCTTCATCGCAATACCTTGTCTGTCTTCTTTAATGAAACACACACACACACACACACACACACACACACAGATATATATATATATATATATATATACGTACTTAATGGGGTCAACATATATATATATATATATATATATATATATATATATATATATACGTACTTAATGGGGTCAACACCTATAGTAACATACAGCTTCAAAATTTTTAAGTGGAAGTTGAAAGACATTAAATGATTGGACGCCAAGACCAGAAAAATGCTTACCCAAATGAGAATACGTCACCTGAAATCAAATGTTGATAGGCTGTATGTACCAAGATATATATATATATATATATATATTATTTCATGTGATCCACCGGTCTGTTTCTTCTTGTTTTGTATCGGTTTTCACCCTGGTCGGGTTGAACCGGCTTCCTCCCGAGCAAGTACAGCATCACGGACCATCGCTGCCCACGCTCGCCGATCCTGAGGCGGATTGGTCTGGCACCCAGCGGTATTAGGGCCGCAACCCGGCTAAAGGGGCTCTGGTGAAAATCCAGGAGGTGTCTGTTCCGGCAACCGGCGGCCTCGGGTCGCTCTGTCAATGCGTCGGTGGAAAATCTGCGGCAAACAGGGCGTTTTTTCCCTTTCCCTCGGGTAGGACTTGGGACCCTTCCCTTAATCAAATCCCAATGAATCTTCTTTTATGAGCGATACAACCTGTCTGTTTCTCTCTTTCTCTCTCCATTTCCATCTTCAACTGCCTTTATTTTCTCTTTTGCCATTCCTTTTCTCAATCTTCAAATTATTCATTTTTATCACTCTCTCTCTCTCTCTGTTAGTTTTCAAATTTTTCCCCTCCTTCTAAATTTTCTGTCATTTCTTTCATTCTCTCTCTCTCTGTCTGTCTCTCTTTGTTAGTCTTCAAATTTTTTCCCTTCTACTAAATTTTCTGACATTTCTTTCATTCTCTCTCTCTCTCTCTCTCCCAGGCATGAATCCATAAACTGTCCCTGATATATCTTTTTCATCGTGGTTTCCATTTCGGATATCCAACACTCATACTCTAATTAAACAAAATTAAAATTAATATTTAATTAACATATACATATTTCAATGTTGTTATATTTCTCCCCCACCCCCAGATAAATTGTACATATGGGAACTAGTTAAGTCTACACAGAGACTTAGTGGTATTACGGTAGCTGTTGTAAGAATGGTAAGTAAGAAAGTGTTTTTTTGGTGTAAGAAAGTGTATGTTTGGGTCAGTAATTGTGGCTAGATAAGTTTAAGAGGAGAGATTGAAGACAAGGCTTCCTCTATCTATCTGCTTTTGGCCTTATGCCACATTTTTGTATTTTTCAAAATAAATATTACTTTCCGCTATGGTACCTAGACTTTATGAATTTAAGCGCAGTACTAGATTGGCTGCTAGGTCCCATCATTTTGTAGTTGAAATGGCTAGATGTAAGCGTACGTTCTATGCTAACAGTTTCTCTCATTTGTAGAACTTTCGTTTGGCTTCTTGCTTCCCAGTCAATTTTGATCTTCAAAAAATTACATGCAATGTCAATTGATATCTTCCGTGTTCTTGGTTCCTGTTCTTTTACTGTTCTCTCTTCTTAACAGTGTTTTTTTTTCTCATATTTTCCTACACTCAGTATCTTCCTTGTTTCTTAGTGGCTTTATTGCCTTGCTTGGTGAAATAATTAAAAAAATACAATGTCAAGCAGAAGAAATGAATTTTGCAACTTGAAAACCCGATAGAAGGCGTTGACACACTCATTTCAGAAACAAGGCGCATGCGCACACGATGGCATACACATGTCTCTCCATAAAACTACACTTATTAGCTTATATCGAGCAATGATGGTGTGTGTTTGATTGGCTTTTTTGAATAGAAATCGTCTCAATCGATCACCTCGTCTCCTTAATTATTTTGTTTTTACCTGATTCCAATAGCATCCAAGCGAGATGTCTTAGCGGCAGCAACATTTCCGCTTTCCCAGCATGCCCAGCGTTGTCATATCCTTCAATAGCTCTGACACTGCTGTTATCAATTGATAGTTGACAGACAGCTGCCTCTTACGCATGGCGCCCTGGGAAGATAATAGAGGCCTTTTTTTTTACTTTGAAAATGTTAAAATCGTATTCATTGATTTCAGGTTTCTTTTCAGAGTTTGATAACGTAAAACCTATGAAAATTGTATTAAATAACAAAATACAGATTTTAAAACCTTATGTACCGGGAGGAAACGTATAATCTGGCGTGATCAACAGTTTGATGAAGGCCAGTACACTCAGGTTTCGGTCACGATGATTTGTGGCTTCATGCTAGAATAACTATCGATAGACTCTGAAGAGTTTCATTTTCCTACTTTTACACACAAGGCTTGGGTAAACGGCTGTTAGATTTTTTTTTCAGGCACCTTCTAACGATGTCGCGCACTGGGATCGCGTTATCTAGAAGTAATCTTCCTGACAAATAGACCAGGGTGAAAGTTAGACTCGGAACATTTAATCGGAAAGCGAACGTTCTGAGCACCTAGCCTTGCACGTCTCACGCCACTCTCTTTCTCTCTCTCTCTCTCTCTCTCTTTCGGTCGAGAACTTTAGAGGGAAAGCGCGAATTTGCAAACACTGCTACTGTAGATAATGCAAAGCTCTTCTATGAATCGAGTACTCTGAATCACTGGCGTGTTTATTCAAAAATAAATGCGTAAAAATCCACGTTCCACCGTGCGGGAAGCTGATAACTTAGGGGAAAATCTCCGACTGATGACAAATCAGTCGAGTTTCGATCTTGGCTTGAGGCAATTGGGTGTCTAGTCACACTGATTAGCTGTGATACAACGAAACAGTCTCTCTGTCGATGACAATATATATATACTAGTAGCATGGCCCGGCGTTGACCGTGCTTGATTCAAAAATCGTACGACTCATACAGCAATCGCTATCACTTGATTTAAAATATTTTTACCCTTCCTTGCCTTTAAAGGAGTGCCCTTTGCCGTGCTGATGTTGCTACATGCCTTACTTCTTGCCTATTTCACACTGCGATTTTTTTCTAAGCTCTATACTAAACATTAAATCTGTTACGAAAAAAGAACTAAACAAAATGAACACAAAACGATCAGCTTTAAAAAAAGGACTCGTAACTGGAAAAACCGAATGAAAAAAGAATGTTAACACCAAATACTTTTTCACACCAAACCCAGTTCTGCGGAATCAGAATCAACGTTGAGTTTAAGCAAGCGAATGAGCCAATTGGAGTAAAGTGCCATGCAGATTTAAATTTTCCACACTTGTGGCGAATGCAGCTATCGATTTTTTTGCATGCTAGCATGTTAGTTAACATTCGTGTCAGTCAGTTGTTGGCTCTCACGCTGGCTAATAGAATCTTCCTGCCTATTCGTGGCAGCCAGCTATTGGCTTTCACTCTGCCCAGTAGAAAATGGCCGAAAACTACATGAAAACTGCCGTAGAAGCATGAAAAAATCGATTATTTTCACTATCGATGGGAGTTGGGAAATGAAAAGTCAGTCTGGGCCTTCCCGCTAACTTGAAGCATGTGCATGTAAATTTTGGTGCAAATTTGCGGCCGTGCATTCGTTACACACACACACACTCACCATCAAGTCCTGATCTGAATCCTATTGAAAATCTACGGTAAACTGTGAAGATGAAATTATATGGTGACAATTAAAACTGCGGAAGTAAAATAGTTAGCAAAATCAATGGATGATAGATTACTGACTGTTATTGAGAAGAAGGGTCACTATGTTAAAATGTAAAGGGTTCAAAGACTTATATGTGTTTGTTATTTGTTCTATTATAGGCGATGATCAATTTTCGATGATTTTATTAGCTTTTTATGGACGTAAAATGTGAGGATTTAGTTTTGCCTAATAAATTCTGACTGCAGTTTGTTTTTTAGAATGCATCAAATAACTTTAATAAAACATGTTGAAGCTACGTAAATTGATTTTCTCAAGTAATATTCACGGACGCATCTCGAGTGATATTTAAGGGACCTGATGGATGTGCCTGTGGCTAAAAGAAGGCGACAACGAGGAGGTAGTGTTATGATATGGGCTGGAATTATCGACCAAACCATTACTGAATCATTCAAAGTCGATGAAGGAGTTAAAGCGAACAATGCTATTACGATTTCATGAACAAGACTTTCCTTGTATAGTACAAGTCCTAGTCTCAAAGTGTGTTGAAACTTGACTAATGCAGGGAATAATAATGCAACACAAAATGTACTTAGAACAAAATGTATTGAAACAAGAAAGTGTACACAATATTTACATATAGTCTTTTGTATATTCCTGGTAAGACCGTTACTGGAGAATGTGTTGACTGAGTCGCAGTCGGGCAGAGTCTCTGGTTGAATCTCTTTTCCTCCCTCTCTTCCCGGTACCAACCATATTTATATATATAATGATATTCTGACAAATTATGAAAGGGGTTCATAGGGTAAGCAAGTTTGAGAACCCCTGCAGTAAAGAGTTATTTTCGTTCTTCTTCTCTTATTGTTTTGTGCATTTGTTTAATGGCATATTAATCGGTCGTTTAATGTCGAAATTTAATTTTCTGGGAAGCTAAAGTAATTTTTTCTATTTGCAAAAATCTTTTGCTGGTATGTTTTTCCTTTTTTAATTTTCTTATCCTTTTTTTTTTCTTTTTTTTTCATTTTTCTTTTTTTTGTTTTTTTCCTTTTTTTATTTTTTCCTTTTTTCTTTTTTCTCTTTTTTCTTTTTTGTTTTTTTTTCCTTTTTTCTTTCTTTCCTTTTTTCTTTTTTTTTTCTTTTTTTTCGTTTTGTATTTTTTAAATTTTTTTTCCTTTTTTTCCTTTTTTTTCTTTTTTCTTTTTTTCCTTTTTTCTTTTTTTCCTTTTTTGTTTTTTCCTTTTTTGTTTTGTTGTTTTTTCTTTTTTTAGTTTTTTTTATCGTTTTGTATTTTTTAAATTGTTTTTCCTTTTTTGCTTTTTTTCCTTTTTCCTTTTTTTTCCTTTTTTTCATTTTTTCTTTTTTATATTTTCCTTTTTTATTTTTTCTCTTTTTTATTTTTTTCCTTTTTTCTTTTTTTTCCTTTTTTCCTTTTTTGTTTTTTGTTTTTTATTTTTTTTTCGTTTTGTATTTTTAAAATTTTTTTTTCCTTTTTTCTTTTTTTCCTTTTTTCCCTTTTTTTCCTTTGTTTTACCTTTTTATTTTTTCCTTTTTTATTTTTTCTCTTTTTTCTTTTTTCCTTTTTCCTTTTTTGGTTTTTTTCCTTTTTTTCCTTTTTTCTTTTTTCCTTTCTTTTCCTTTTTTCTTTTTTCCTTTTTTCTTTTTTCCTTTTTTCTTTTTTCTCTTTTTTCCTTTTTTTCTTTATTGTTTTTTCCTTTTTTTCTTTCTTATTTTTTTTTTCATTTTGTATTTTTAAATTTTTTCCTTTTTTCTTTTTTTCCTTTTTCTTTATTTCCCTCCTTTTACAAAAATCTGTTACCGGTTATTTATTTTTCATTTAAAATTTATATTTTCGTTTTTTTTAACCTTGGTGTAGGAGTTTACTATTCGTCCATAGCTAGGGCCTGGGCAGGGTGAACCTGGGAATAACAGCAATTAATAGGTGGTCCTACGCTCGTCAAAAACTCGTGCTTAGAGGTCAAGCTGCTAGATGTAGTTTATCGTCATACGCAGGACGTTGAATATATTGCAAAACCATTCAGGAACAGAGAGTTTTGAAAAAGGTTCGCAACGCTTTAGTTTTGGGCGATTCTCTGAAATCCAAAGGGTGCCCGCAAACAGCTTTTACCTATAGTTCATGTATATATATATATATATATATATATACATCCCTATCCCTACCTAAACGAAAACCCTTCTTCAAACATAACTAATAACTGATACAACAAAATACAGCGATAATGAACACACAACCACCCCTTGTCTGGATGAATGGATTTCTCTGTATCCTTGGAAACGTGAATTATGAATTTTTGCAGTGCCTTTAAAACCCAGTAATTTTAAAAATAAGTTACTCCAAAATTCGCTTGAGGATGAAATGGAACTAATGTCTTTAATTTAATTACAAAATTAAATTCGAAGCTTTTAGCTTCTATTTTTGAAACATAGTTAGAACTGTGTAGCGAAAAAAAACATATTTTAAATCAGTTAATTTATAACATATATATATATATATATACACACACACACATATATATATATACACATATATATATATACATATATAGACATATAAATATATTTATATACATATGTATATATATATACATATATATATATATATATATATATATACATATACATATATATATATATATATATATATATATATATATATATATATATATATATATATATATAAAGAGGAAGATAAAGAAAAGAGTGAGAGAGAGAGAGAGAGAGAAAAAAAAAAAAAATAATCTATTTGGCAGGTGTTTGTTTAAAGCATACGATGTCGTTTGTCATGTAACGTGTTCCTCGATTCTTCGGCCGGAAAAGCAGGAAGGAAGAGTAAGTTTTGCAGTTTTGCATGCAAGAAGGCGGGCAAGAGACCCGTGAGTGTTGACACTTTCATGTAATTTTGCATCCTTTTTCTTATTCGACATGAACTGTGTGATGTCACCGAGGAAAACTATTGACAACAGGAAGCTGGAAAGTGATAAAAAAAAAATCAAAGAACTAAAATAAAAAGAAAAGAAAAGAAAGAAAAAAATCACCGGAAGCGGAAAAAGTACATTTTTATGTCGCGCATGCACGTCATAAAACTCATCTCGTCATTGATCTAAGATGACTGCAATGTAGCTTCAATCTTGGTCATTTGGATTGATTATCAAGTTTTATTCTTAAATCAGAGGGTTCGAACTATTTCAATAGAGCGACTTATGTTCCTCCTGTAGAACACCCTGAGAAATACAGAGCCACAGCTTCGCCACATTAGTTGTTGCTTCTGTCTTTTTGGAATTGCTAGCCCTGCACAGAACTGGTTTTTAACCTGATATTTCATTCTCTTAGACTGGTTGCCAAATAAGGATAGAGATCTCAGTTTACCTTGCTATTTAACCATAGCTAGAGGAGGGGTAGAAGAAATGGCTTCATAGCTTTCCAATACGCGTACAAAATCAATTGAAATTCGAACTCGACACTAATTTCACTTTCACTTTCACTATCGTCAAACTCAGTCAGTCACTTTCACTACCGCCAAATTCAGTTAGTCAGTTACGTGCCATGCGTGATTCTGGCTTTGGCGATTATGAATCTTCCCGATTCATCATTGACATTCATATGGGCATAAAGTGTGGGGTCGGTTTCCTTTTTTCATTTATTACTAAACTGATCCCCTTAAAATTCAGTCAGTTATGTGCCATGCTTAGGCGATCATGTCCCCTCCCGATTCATGATTGACATTCAAAAGATTCTAGTGGACATAAAGTGGGGGATCGGTTTCCTATTGTCATTTAATACTAAACTGATTTTCCATAAAATTCAGCCAGTTATGTGCCATGCGTTATACACGCTTAGGCGATCATCTCTCTTCCTCATTCATGATTGACATTCATATGATTCTACTGAACATAAAGTAGGGGATCATATTTAGTATTAAATGACAATATGAAATATTGTCATTTAATACTAAACTGATCCCCATGAAATTCAGTCAGTTATGTGCCATGAGGGATATACGCTTAGGAGATCATATATTTTGCGATACAAAACTGACGAGGCTGATTTTTATCCCGAAGTAGGTTGCCATTTCTTTCTGCGGTAGACCAGTTGCCATCCAAAGCTATTTACCTATAACTTTGAAGAAGAGGATTCATACCTTTCCCACGTAAGTGAATGTAATTTGACTGGAATTCGAACTCGGCTCTCCTTAATCCGAGCCCATTACTCCACCGTGCCTCCTTCGAGATATTAGTCATCGTAAACAACGATTAGTGCCCGGATATAAATTCTCTGATTACAAAAAAGTAAAATAATAATTTAATCTCTCTCCATCCCCGTGCCCTAAAGAGTATAGGGCCACACCCTCACAAATCTAGGTGTTATTTTCGACAGCAAATAGTTTTTTTTAATAGATTTGCTAAACTCAGGCACGTCTAACTTTGGATTCAGAGTTGTCCTCCTTCTAGACTGGTTGTCAAACAAGGCTGGAGTGCCTTGTCTACCTTGCTATTAATCCCTAACTAGGGTGGGAAAGAAGAGATGGATTTATACCTTACACAACAGCCGCAGTTGGAGTTTTTTTTTCATTACTACATCTACATGAATATATATTATCCCAGTAGACGCCTCTGTGGGGTATAAGGCCGCAGACTCGCGGCGCTAAGGCCATGCTAATTGTTGCTGTTCCATCCCGTAAAATAACTTATTTGGTACGGAAACGTACCAAATAAGTTATTTTACGGGATGGAATTACTAGGCCCACGCTCAAGCGATTTTGAATTCTGTATTGTCGTTCTCTTGGGTTGTTTGCCAACCAAGCTCAGAAAGCCTAGTTTACTCTGCTATTTTTCCCTAGCCGAGGGAGGAAAAGACTCATATCTTTCCAAGAGTAATTGTGGGAATGCCAACAACGCAACGGCTTCGGTTGGAATTTGAATTCGGCACGCAAATTACATTTTTCCCACCAATACTATAAGCACACCACTAATACTATAAGCACACGACTAACATAGTGTGTAGGATCTTGCATAACAAGGCTGTTCGATCAACGACATTGATTCGCTGAAAACAAATTTAATGTGTAAAAATAATAAAATAATCTATCTATCTATCTATCTATCTATCTATCTATCTATCTCATTCTGTTCACTATCTATCTATCTCTCTCTCTATCTATCTATCTATCTATCTATCTATCTATCTATCTATCTATCTATCTATCTCATTCTATTATCTATCTATCTATCTATCTATCTATCTATCTATCTATCTATCTATCTATCTATCTATCTATCTATCTATCTATCTGTTGTAACTTAGGAAGGGTTACTGAATGAAGAATAACCAAAAACAGGGGTTGGAAATGAAATGATCATCTTTATAACACCAACAGAATACAATACTCGCCAGCGGCGTGAGGTAGGTAAACCACTGCGAGTGGTGAACTACTTAGACACCATATTACCCCCACTTACAATAGTGTCCAACGCATTTATCAGGATTCGGACATACCCATTAGTGTTCAAATGTATGGTATATAACACCATCTATCTCAATTCAAGTTCTATCTATCTATCTATCTATCTATCTATCTATCTATCTATCTATCAGTACTAATCTGATTATCTATCTATCTGTTGTGACCTAGGAAGGGTTACTGAATGAGGAATAATCAAAACGGAGGTTGGAACTGAAAATGGTAATCTTTATAACATCAACAAAATTAAATATTTGCCAGCGGCGAGAAGAAGGTAGACCACTGCTAGTGTTGGACTACTTAGACAGCACATTACCCCCACTTACAATAGTGTCCAACGTATTTCTGACGATTGGGACATACCCATTAGTGTTCATAGGTACGGTATATAACAGTTATATACTTTGGCCAAATATTGATAAAATTGTATAATACAATTATTGGAGCCCAAGATTATCCGAAGTTAATTCCGGAAAATATCTCATTATTTAAAAAAAAAAAAAAAAAAAAAAAAGTGGCTATATTGATATTGATGGCACCTGAAATCATTTTAATCTATTCTCTATGGGATGTGATATAATCTCATTAAAATGAGGTAATATCATTATAATATCAAATTATATGTTATAATTATATCAATATTATATCACATAGTGATATACTCTGATTATTTTGATATTATATAGTTATATCGGTCAAATCGAGTGCTACTAGTATCAGGTGGCCTGCAAAATGGTCGGTGCATCAGCGCTTAAAGTGGTTTTTACACCAAACTGTTCTACGTCCTGGGTATGACGATAAACTACATTTGGCAGCACGGCCTCTGATCGAGAGGTTTTGAGGAAAATAAAACCACCTCTTAATTGCTTTTCTTCTCAGGTTCACCCTGACCCGGGCACCTGTAAAGGGTCCCAGCTATGTTGCCAAGAGTGAACCCCACGTCCCGAGCTAAAAATCATTATGAAAGTATAAAAATACATTAATTTAGTAAGAATACCAGCAACACCTTTTCATAGTAAAAAAAAAAAACCAGTAATACATTAAAAAAAAAAAAAAAATTACCAAGGCTCCTAAGAAAATTGAATTTCGGCATTAAATGACCCATAAGAAGTTGGTATATCATTAAACAAACCAAACCAACCAAACGTTTATAGTGGGGAGGGTGGCTTAAAAACAAGCGCTGACAAAGGGCAGATGAATTTTCTTGTAGGGGTCAACAGTAATCTAGCACAATAGGGTGGACTGGGTTCTATAAATAAGGATGGAGTCAGAGCGGTAAGAACACGGTATCGCTGGTCTGAGTGCTTCATAGACTGAAATCAACGGCCAGGGCGAAGCATTCTCCTACCTCTCAATGGAATCTCCGGCCACGTTTCTGTGACCAGGGCGAGCCTTCACGCTAGAGGTCATCGGCTGTGGTTTGACCCGGAGAGGGATAAGCTAGGCCAGGTCTCCTTACCGAATACCCGTTATGCATGAATGAGTAGTCGCGTATGTTTCGACCCAGATATATGTAGGAAACTAGTCAGGTGCGCAGTTGCATAACAAGCCTGCGACCAGAGTCGCAAGTAGGACTGATTACGATTGTCTCAACGTCTTTTTCTGTGGTTCAAAGAATTAGACAGTTCTGTCCTCGTCATCTCTATCAACTCGGCGTTTTGTTCTTTGTAATCTTGTCTACGCTTTGAAATATCTCTTTCAACAGCGATTTTAACTTTTAAAAGAGCCTGAAGTCACAGGAATCGTGCCTTTTGTTTCTTTATTTCTTCCTAATTCTTTCTTTCTTTCTTGACAATTATTTATTCCTTTCTTCACAATTCTTTAGTTCTTTATTCACAATTCTCTCTCGCTTTCTACAAAATTCTTTTTCTTCACAATTCCTTCATTCTACAAAATTCTTTCTTCACAATTCTTTCTTTCTTAACAATTCTTTATTTTATTCTTCCCAATTCTTTTACTCTTTCTACAAAATTCTTTTTTCTTCACAATACTTGCTTTCTATCTTTCTTTCTATCTTTCTTTCATTGTTTCTTTCTTTCTTTCTTTCTTTCTTCAAAATTCTTTCTTCACAATTCCTTTATTTCTTTCTTCACAATGCTTTCCTTCTTTCTTTCTTTCTTTCTTTCTTTCTACAAAATTATTTCTTCACAATTCTTTGTTTCTTTCTTCAAAATTCTTTCTTTCTTTCTTTCTTTCTTCACAATTCTTACTTTATTCAAATTTCCTTTTTTCTTTCTTCACAATGCTTTTTTACGTTTTTCTTTCTTTCTTCAAAATTCTTTCTTCGCAATGCTTTCTTTCTTTCTTTCTTTCTTCACAATGCATTCTTTCTTTCTTTCTTTCTTTCTTTCTTTCTTTCTTTCTTTCTTCACAATGCATTCTTTCTTTCTTTCTTTCTTCAAAATTCTTTCTTTCTTCCCAATGCTTTCTTTCTTTCCTCAAAACTCTTTCTTTCTTTTTTTCTTTCTTTCTTTCTTTTTCTTTCTTTCCTCAAAACTCTTTCTTTCTTTCTTTCTTTCTTTCTTTCTTTCTTTCTTTCTTTCTTTCTTTCTTCACAATGCTTTCTTTCTTTCTTCCTAATGCTTTCTTTCTTTCTTCACGATTCTTTGCTTTATTCACAGTATTTTTATTCATTTTCTTCATTTCATAAACAGTACTTTTTCAAAATTTCTTTACCTTTTTCTTTTTCTTTCTTTACAGTTTTTATTCTTCTTTCCGAATTTTCTTCTTCACCTATCTTCAAAGTTCTTTAGCACTTCTTCTATTTTCACAGTTCCTTCTTTTTCATTCAGACATTCATTCTTTCTTTGTTATTTCTTTCTTTCGTGATTCCCAACCCTTTCTTTGTTTTGTTTTCAGTTCATTCTTTCTTTCTTTCTTTTATTTATTTCTTCTCATTTCTTTCTTTTTTCACATTTTTTTTGTTTTTTGTTTTTATTTCTAAGATGTTCTTTATTATTCGCTAAAAAAAAAGAAGGAAAAAGGATTTGGGATTTTCAAATCATAAATTTATTCCTTTTTTTAATTTTTGGCTTTTTCTTTTAATTCTTACCTTACTGTCTACAGAAATGTTTAACTTAACGATCCTATTTTCACACATCATCTTCTAATCCGGCCGTCAGTGTTCAATCTCAGGCAAAGGAGAAAATTTCGAATAGTGACTTTTCTAACGCGATAGGCTCGACCGACATTTTTTTTATATAGGCATTCCACGATTGGTCTTTTATCAGTCTCTCTTTCTCTCTCCTTCTCCACCTCTTTCTATCTCTCCTTCTCATTCTTCCTCTCCCCCTATATTGCTCTCCCTATCTCCCCTATTCACTCTCTCTCTTCCTCTACCCATCTCTCCCTAGCTACCCCTTCTTTCTCTTCCTCTCCTACTATTTCTTTCTTGCCATCACCCTCTCTCGCTTTCTCCAATGGTAGGTGAAAATATCTGTAACCTAACACGCACTTATTACCTGAAATTGGATCTGAAACTTTCACTGGATACATTGACACCATCGAAATGTAATTATCCTGAAAAAGCCTCATCAATTTACAGTGGAACTGGCTAGATGTAACCGTAAGTTCTATACTAACAGTTTCTTCTCTTGCACTTATCGCTTGTAGAACTCTCTTCCGGATCCGTGCTTTCCGGGTAACTTTGATCTGCAAAAATTTAAATGCAAAATGTTTTCCTGATTACTCTTCTATTGTTCCCGCTCCTTCATCATGTTTTTTTTTTTCTAATTCTTTCACACCAAGTAATTTCTTGTACCTAGTGAATTTACTGGCTTGTTTGGGGGTAATTTGATTAATATATATATATATATATATATATATATATATATATATATATATATATATATATATATTATTATTAAATATAACAGGCAATGAATATCTATTATGTCTGATCATGAGCCGTTATAATGTTCGAATGTATGCTATAATTTCTGGTGAAAATAATGACAAAACTTGTTAACTAATGTAGATGGGCCTCCACACTCAACAAAATTACATTTCAAACTAATCACAGCACATTGTTTCTGTTGTAATACTTAGATCTATCACGTGGTATGACGTCATGGAACAGCATCTTGAACTTACGATCTGCGTCTGCTATTCCGCGACCGTTATCGTCGCATAGCAATTTTCTATATCAAATTAACAAAATCACAGCTTTGACGGTGGATATCTTTGTTTCATGTCTGTATAACCACCCTGAAGATGGCTCATGTTAGCCGAAAGCTTAGAAGCAACATAATAAAAAATGATCCAAATGTTAGACAATATTTGTCTTTATTTACACCAGAAATTTAAAAAAATATTCGATCATTAGACCGGCTCACGATCAGACATAATATACATTCATTGTCTGTTTTATTTAACAGTATATGTTTAGATAATGATCTGCTGCTCCAATAAAATAATAAATAAAATATATATATATATATATATATATATATATATATATATAGAATACTCTCGCATACATTAACATAAACACACAAAAACATAATATATATATATATATATATATATATATATATATATATATATATATATATATATACCCGGCCTGGGTATGACGATAAACTAAATCCACGTCCTGGGTAAGACGATAAACTACATCCAACATCAAGGCATCTGGTCAGAAGGTTTTGAGGGCGTGGAAACACTTTTTTAATTTCTGGTGTTCTCAGGTCCAGCCTGACCTAGGGTGGTAGCACCGGTTAGGGTCCCAGCTATGGGCAAATAGTTATCACCCAAAATGGGGGTTAAAAACTATGAAAGTGTAAAAATAGATTTTAATACCAGTAATACATTTTTGTAAAAGATTATAACCAGCACAAATATGATTGGTAGAAAAACATTCTTCCGGATTGGTCACAATATACATCGGGAACGAAAACTAATAAGTTCATTGGTTAAAAAATAACAGCTTTTTACACCAAGTGAAAATTAAATGGTAAATCTGGCACTCATCTCAAAAATTCATAGTAAAGGCAAATAGACGGGACATTTCTGGGGACCAATCGGCCTGGTCTTAAGAAATGGCCCCATTTTACCTCTAATACTGAACTCCACAATATCAAATGAATGACCATTCTAGCTCTGAACTTAATAAATTCAATTTCTGAAACTAATTTAGTTTCCAAGTATATGATTAAAACCCGATGAACCAAGGTTTTAATCAAATTCATTTTTTTTGCTGCATAGAACAAAAACAATCCCATCGGGTATTTTGAGTTCATTTACAAACACACAAAAGTTATCGACGTATCTAAAGTAATACTTGGGTCCTGACAAGTAACACTTGATCTTAAAAATCAACAAATATATTGGCCATTGTAGGCCCAAGTTGGTTTCGGGTGCCCTGATGTTGAAAAAAAAACAACCTGTATTTGATCTAAGATCAATAAAATAAAGAACGCCATTGTTCTACTTTTAAAGTGTGAAATGCAACGCGTTCAATATATTCAGTGTTTAATGGAACATCCCAGCATCAGCTTCATTTACAAACACAGAAAAAGGTATCATCCACATATCTAAAGTAATACATGTCATTTTTTTTCTATGGGGCTATGCGAAAGGAGAGGTCTCTATAGTCCCTCTTCTTACAATCCTAGAAGAACTTAAGTAGAGAAACACTGAAACACTGGAGAATGTTACGTAAGACATGCTACAGCGTGTTTGGCAGGAGCTAGACTACCGACTTGACATGTGTCCTGTTACAGATGGTGTGCATATTGAACATTTGAAATGATGTCAAAGTTTGGGGGACAGCCTATATATATATATATAAATATATATATATATGTATATATGTATGTATGTATGTATGTATGTATAGATAATGATAGTGGTCAATATATATATATATATATATATATATATATATAAATTACCAAGAGGATAGAAACCAGGTAGAAGTCAATGTCAGGGACAGAGTAAGAATATAATATAAAAGGCTGAAACTCTAATATTCCATGATTATAATTTATGACATTGGAATCGTAATTACGATCCAATTCATCAGCACTTAGTGCACCAGGTCACTGTATTCGGCCCTTCAAAAAGTGTGGATGGTCCTGCACGAAACCTTCACCACTATAATCAAATCTCATGTGGTGTTGTCGGGCTGTCAGTTTCCTAGGAACTGATCTGCTTGACCCTCATACGTCGAATTCGACGGAGAGCCGACTATATATATATGGTGCTGGTGTTAATAGAACAGTGGTCGATGTAATATAACAGCTATTAAGTGTATACTAATACATATACATATTATCCCTCATCGCTAGTACGACTCGGAGTTTTATGCACGACGCAATCTTTATATATAGAAACTTTGAATGTACGTGGGAGAATCTATAAAGATGTATTAGTTTTCATTTCTTCCGATCACTCTTTGAAGTCTTCTGAATTTTTAAATTCACGCCTCAACAATTGTGCTCAATGGATATGAATTATCGGTTTAAATTCCAACTTCTTTTTTATGTTATTAAATGTTTCATCGTTGAAGAAATAACAGCAACAACAAAGGGCAGACCTAAAATTACTCAAATCATTCCATTATTATATTTTTCAATTAAACTTGTAAATATTGTAAATTATCCTTGTTGACAAATGACAAAATTCGTTGTCAAGTTTAGTGAAGTGAAGGCTTTTATTCAGTGTATTTTCTGATGATTTTTAGCATTTTAATGTTTCAGTGGCCGCTTTGAGAATGCTATGGTTTTGCTGATATCTTTGTTTGTTATTCTTTGGAAACGAATAAAAATAAAATGTCTCACCAAAGTGTTTTTATGGGATTTTTTTCTTCTTCTTCTTCTTCTTATTCTTCTTCTTCTTCTTCTTCTTCTTCACTATCACCCTCTTTCTTTTCTCTTTCCCCACGCCGTCCTCTTCTTTTTCCTTTTCTTATTTTCCATTTTCTTCTTCTTCTTCTTCTTCTTCTTCTTCTTCTTCTTCTTCTTCTTCTTCTTCTTCTTCTTCTATCAAACTTTCCCTTTTCCGCCTTTTTCCGTATCCTCCTCTTCTTTCATTTCACTTTTAATTTCCCCACGATCTCCTCTTCTTTTCCCTTTTCCTATTCTCCATTTTCTTCTTCTTCTTCTTCTTCTTCTTCTTCACTATCACCCTCTTTCTTTTCTCTTTCCCCACGTCATACTCTTCTTTTTCCTTTTTTTATTTTCCATTTCCTTTACTTCTTCCTCTTTTTCTTTTTCCCTATTCTCCTCTTATTTTTCTCTTTCTCTCTCCCCACTTCGTTTCATCATCAGTCTTCGTCACCTTCTTTCTTTCATCTTCTTCTTCTTCTTTTTGATTTTATTTTCCCAGTGACTCAGATCACTTTTTACCGTATTTCTAAGAAAGCTTTTTTTTCTTCCCTTTTCACAGTTGACTGTGTAATTCCCGCTGTGATCTGTGCCTAGCAGTAATAATTCCCGCCAACTGGTGAGAGACGTTTTTAGTGACGCGGCTGTAATGTTACATTTACATTTCTTGCCTTGCCCCCCGCACTCCCCACAGCATTAACATACTCTTCCTTAAATACTCGGCCTTTTCTACCATTTTACCCAACTCAACAGTTACATCGAAGTTTATTGTCATTTAACTTGAGGTGATAAGGACATTTGAGAAATGCATCAAAACAAGCCAATATTCGCACAAGGAAATGAAGTAACGGAATACAACGACCACAGGCGAGTAAATAAATGTGTTCAAGTCATTTTAACATAAAGAAACATTAACATAAAAAGGAAAGAATAAAAAACAAAACAAAATGGAGGTCGAAGAGAATGCGAGAGCTATTTTAATGTCGTGTCTTACTTTGAGGAAAGCAGATAACAAAATGGCGGACAACAGTCTCCAGTTGCTGATAAAAATAAAAGACAAATATATACATTTATTAACACAGAAAAATGCTATACATTTTCGTTCGAATAATTAGTTTTGAATAATAAATGAATTACCTATATTTGATTATTTTCACCGTGTTGTTTTCTTGTATTAGTGTGTTCGAAAAGTAATTGCTTTATCAGAAATTATGTAAAAACAAATATGAGTTACATTTATTTAAATATTATTTATAAAAATGTAAACACCTTCAATTTCAATTACTGCAGCGCAACGGGAAGGCAATTTCCGATTGCACGTTTAAAGAAATCTGTTTTTTCTCTGAAAAAAATTAAAATACTCTTTTCAACTTCTTTGTTTCTAGGTGTCCTGTGATAAACAAATGAAAATCTGTTGGTGATAAATCTGATGCGTTTCGAGAATGTTGCAATGCTGGATAAGAACACCTTTTATCTTTTTACCAAAGCCGGACATTTTCGATGCAGTTTTTCGTCTTACCAATTAATAAATATCTGTATTGATGGTCCTTCCAAGTCTCGATAGTTCGCAATGGACGACACATTTCATAATCCTCCAAGCACA